ACCTTGTTCATATCTTGATTTGCAGAAAGATGGCCGCAGCTTTGATTACAACAGTTATCTGGACGCAAAGGTGCTCTTCCCCCCACATTTTGTCTTGTTTCATGTTTATAGGAAATGCCTTGCATGATCTCATGTATAGTGCTGGAATTTTTATAGTCACTTCACAACCAATGAATAGTCAATCATAAACTTGCTAGTCCGTGTCCATGGGACACAGCCAATGAAGCTAAGTTAACAAATAATTTTGCTATGGCTTTGTGGATCTCTTGTGCTCTAAGATACAGTTGACTACACAGTTCTAAATATAGATCACCACAAACCAAAGGTCACCTTACTACAGGACTTGGAAATCCAATTAACCCAATGGATTCCTAGAAAAGGGCTAATTTTCATACTACATTCGGATGCTATGTTTGCCTTGCTAGATTCCTTAAAATGTAGGAAGGTTGGCTAGAAATTTCTTTTAAAAGCACTAGCCCCTCTCAGCTCATAGATGCATATAGATTGCTGTGGAAAGCTGTATTCAATGGAAGTCATATGTATGGCTTGGAGGGACGTCCTTTCTATTTGATGAGTTACAAAGTCAAATCCAAGTCATGTTGCATACCACTACTTTGATTGATTTGTCTCAGGGAAAAAGTGAAATTCATTCTTCCTTGGTTAATTCCCTTTCCTCAATCATCATAATTCTTTCCTCATCATCTTTTAAATTTTGAAACCAATTTTTGAGAGTCCTGTCCCCCTACTTGTCCCGACTTTCATCGCAATGCAACCAAAGGTGTCAAGCTTATCCTATACAGTTGAAACCTCTGAAGGGAGAGCCTCAGCATAAAATTTGAAACTGTTTTATTTATTTATTCCTTTCTGAGCCTCAGCATAAAATTTGCAACTGCTTTATTTATTTATTTATTTTCACCGTTACTTATGGCCTCGTTAGTCTATGGGCTTCAGCCCAAGTGAGGGTATACTGGGTTTAGTGACTAGGATTTACCTTTAAATGTCACCAGAAAACAATGTCATTAAGAAAACAAATAGAAAGAGGAGAATAGAGGAGAAACCTTTGATAAATTGCAATTGAAAGTGCTACAAATCACTGAGTTTTGTAGGTGTCTAGGTGGCAATAACTCTTGGGGTGTAATACTTAACTAATCTGATGTACTGTGCTCTTGCATTTTTTATGAACACCGAGCACATTCACAGTTACTGTTCAACAGAAAGGCATTGAATCAATGGTCATGTTTGCTTTTTCCGAGGTCATTCTTGTTTTCCAAATTCCAATGGTGCTTTAGCTGAACTCTGAGAAATTCAAGGTGCTGTAGGGTGATGCTGATATTTTTTTCCCCACGGACTTTTGGCTTTTGGAACGAATGGACCATTACTGCTCTGGGTGGATGAAACCGCATGGGGATAACTCAACCAAGCAAGGGAAGAAGAGGCGAACACTGGTGGTAAGTCTATTCTTTTAGGAGTAGTGCTGTCTATTTGCAGAGACATAATATTCTTGTTTAAAGGAGGGGTCATTAAAGTGATCAACTATAAACTATATACCTACTACCTTGCAAAGCTAACTATCAATATTAAGGAAGTGCCTTGCTGCATTACGTTTTAAGATTAAAATTAAACAAATACAACAGTTACCTCTATGTTGGTATGTCCATGTGCCTAATTGGATTCAAGGATATGTTAATAGCCCATTACTTTACAAGATGTAGAGGAAGAGGTAAAAATGGATGACAATGAGTTTTTTTCTGACCTGAATGATGATAAAATTGTTTAAAGCAATGTGGTATGCTAACTGCACTAGAGAACAGGATAGATGTCATATGCCTTTTCTTTTCATGTCTAGCTGAAGTTTATTATATCTTGTGTAGCTCGATACATCAGCATTCATGGAAGAGTTTGGTTTGCCCTCCAAGACGAGAACCAAGGATGGATACAACCCACTTCTGGATGATTTCAAGAATACCAAATTTTATCTTAGTGTCCCAACTCATAACATAAAATAGGCAGTCCACAACTCGAATTTCCAAAAGATGATTTATAAGGATACATCAGGTTGACGAGGAACTTGTACAGTCTTGATTGCATCATCTGAAGAGAAATGAGGTCTATAAACCAAGAGATTTGGAGGCCATTTACATAGTGATGATCTATGTGAAGCACTTTTTGCCTCCTTATGCAGTCACGTGTTTGAATTTTGCAGAGCCATTTAAAACTCAATACATTCAAACAACTGTTCTGGGATGTCTATTTCTCCAAGGAGGAAACTCCATGGTGCAACTGGGGACTGCAAGCACTTTTTGCCTTGTTATGCAGTCATATGTAGTGGAATTGTGTAGAGCCATTTAAAACTAAAATACGGTCAAACAATTGTTCTGGGATGTCTATTCTCCAAGGAGGAAACTCCACGGTGCAACTGGACTACATGTGCTGAAGCTGAGAAAGGGAGGTTTGCTGATTGGAACCAAAACAGCAGAAGCTCCGATGACAAGTAATTTGAATTTAAATTTTTTCTTCTGTTATCCCAAATTTCACACCTTTTTTCCCCCAATAAATGACCCTAAATTATATTTGTTATTTCCAATAACTACGTTAGAGTTTCTGGCATGATTTCTCTTTGCTTTGTGAATCAATCTTCATGTTAGAATTTGTGGTGGCTTGTATGCGCAGACCAGAATGTCCAGTCGCAGCGTGCAGCAAGCATAGACCAAGGCTTGCTTTCCTTGTATCAAGATATATCCTCAACCTGATTGACAGAATCATGCGTTCTATTCTTGCTTAGAACCTTGCTATTGCTGCCTTTGCCCGCCAACCTTTTTCTTTGTTCAGAGCACACTTTCCATTCCAATCACACAAACCTAATTGTTCATTGCTCTGTTGGGAGAAACAAATAATCTGCATTATAGAAATACAAGAAAGAAGAGAAGCAAATAGAGAGACACCCTATCAATTGTATAGGGCCCCCTGCTATTTTCTGTTATGCCAGTATTCATGGCACATGTTTATCAATAAATTTTTTATAAAAATGTTATAATCAATTCCAATAAATTTTATTTGAATAAAATCATTCATATGTAATGTGTGCACAAATAATATACAAATGTGAATGCAAATATATTCAAAGCTCCATTAAAGTTTATCATGATTATAGTTTTTTAAAATATATATTTTTATATTTTTTTAAGATTTGTTTTTGGATATATGTGAGGCAAATATTATAAGTATAGACATGAATAAAATTTTATTTTTTTCTAAATAATTAAAAATAATATAAGAAAATAATTAAGCACAATAGAGTGGCCCATGGATTAAAAACACTTTTGGTTTGGTGTTGGTGACCATCATTTTCTTTTTTCTTTCTTCTTCTCCTTAAATTTAGGGCCAATCCCTTTAAAATTTTAGATCACTTCCTTTAATTTTTTTCCTTCACATTTGATCCTATTCTTTTCATTATTTTTTTTTAAATAAGTTATAAAATTACAAATACTTTACAATTTTTTCCATTTATATTTTTTAATCTTTCAAATCGACCCCTATTTTTTTATTTTTTAAAATTAATCTTTTTTTAATTTCATCCCATTTTATTTTTTAATCTTTCAAATTTAGTCTCTATTTTTTTATTGTTATTTATTTTGTCTGAGATAATTTTTTATATTGTTTTTTTTTTTACAATTTCATCTTTATTTGGGATTCCTATTCTTTTTATTGCTATCATTTTTTTTTTGACAAGTTGTTTAAATTGATTTTTTTTTCATGATATCATTATTCAAAATTAAATTGGTTGTAAATTAAAATTGTGTCAAGGATTTCACGAGTAGCTAGTTTTAGAGATTAAACTGAGTTTAGAAGGTTTGCTCGAGCCCTCCCAACCCCCTTAATTTTTTAACCCTTTATAAGTTTATTTTTTATTTTTTATGGTTTGTCTTCTATAGATTAGTATTGAGTTCATGACCAGTCATATGTTTCAAAGGTTAACGTAAGCATGACCAGTCATATGTTTCAAAGGTTAATGTAAGTTTTTATATATATATATATATATATATATATTTTAAAATTGATTTATTTTAATTTTAACATTCAACATTTAATTTATTCAAAATTGATCTTCATACCATTTTTTCTCTTTTTCTTTCTATTGAGTTGCGCTAATCATGTACTCATGGTTGCGAGGTTTACAAGTTAATTCAAGTTGACTTAATTTTTTTTCCTATTCTATTGCTATGAGGTTAGTTTCAGGTTCATAACTAGAGTCATCGATTTCAAAAATTAACATGGATCGACTTTTTTATAATTTTTTTTTAAATTGATTTATTTCAATTTTATCATTTAATATTTGATTTATTGAAAATTGATATTTGTACTTTTCTTTTATTTTCTTTTTATTGAGTTATCTTGATCATGTACCCATCATTGCGGGGTTTGCGGATTAATCTGAATTGACTCATTTTTTCATTGCTTATATTAATTATTTTTTTTTTATTTTTATCTTTTAACATTGAGTTGTTTGATAGTTAAACTTTATGATTTTATTCATTTTTCTTTTGAATGTGATCACCCTAGTATCATGATTGGGTAAGATATTTTGTATCTTGACCCGAGTGAGCTCGGAACATTTTATTTGCTAGAGATTGAGTTTCATTTTTTTTTTGTAAAATTATCTATAAACTATATAAATGACTTAACAAATATTTTTATGGATCAGTGAAATAGGGTTAGACCCAAAAGAAGATATGATCATATAAGATATAATAGCTAAAAAAATTATAATTTTTTATTTGATTATTGGATTAAGTTTGAATTTTTTCAGGAGATTCTCTAGACCTAGTTCTATACACTTTATCAATTCACTCACTATGAATTTTCTCTAATTAGGCTAAGAAGATCATGTTTGAACTAATTTTATTATTTTTCTAGATTTCATGTTTTATTTCCAATTTTCTATTATTTTTCTTCATGTTTTAGAATCAATGATTTTATTAACTAGTAGAGTTGGATTTTCCTAACCTGTTTAAAGAAGTTATAAACCCCATAAAAAGCTAGACTACATTAGACTTTATTTTTAGAGAATAAAACTTTGAATTTAGAATTCTTGTCTGCAATTCTTTGCCTTTTGTTTAGCTATTGTTCTTCGTCTGTGCTTCTTCCTGCATCACCTGCACCCTGATACTACTAAGCCGGGCGGTTCTCTAAAAAACCACTTCAAAGGATATATGAAACAAGATAGCTGCTTGCATCTAAATTGGTTGTTCTTTCATCTAGTTATCGCCATTAATAAAAGACTTGCTGGTTAATTCTTCCAAGCTCTGAATGCTCAGCTTCTTTGCCCAGCTAACCGTTTTTGAAGTGTCAGCTCCTGGACCGAAGTTGCCATACTCGGCAAATGTTATATGGTTCCTGCAAATTATGTGAACATAGAAGCCACTAATTAAACACATTTCCATCCCTAACAACATAATTAAGGCATATCTGTTTAATTTGCAGGAACCAAGCTGATAGATATGATTTGTGAGCTTAGAAAGCTTGCTCATGGCCAACGAAGTTCCAGGCGGAATAAGACCCTAGAATAACCTCTCCATGGCCTACCCACGAAAACTGAAGAATTCCCAAACACATTGCATCATTTGGATTCGTTCTTGCTTGTGCTGGAATAAACCCTCCAAGTGCTTGTATAGAGCAATCCTACAAATAATGAAAGGATACGAACTGATCAAAAACAACAATATTAACTTAACTGGCCTATGGTTTAGAGACATGGAACTTGGTTAAAACGTACTGCTTCTATGTTGTTGAAGTAAAAGGTAGACCTCATAAATAGATTGGCCACTTACAAAGATGAAATCAACAGCACCCTGTATGCTGCAACGCTTTAAGTAATGCCTGCCTCCACCATCCAACAGTGTGTATTGCACCCCTGCAAAGCCACATTGGTAAAATGCAGTCTTGTCTCCGGTTACCATTGCAGCTACTGCTGGCACCTTGGCTTGTTTTTATGTGGAAAATTATTGGAGTTCTGCAAAACGAACAAACAATATCATCAGTTACGAAAATTTAAAAGAAAATGAAAGTAGATTTTCCTGACTGACGGACAATCTGGAAATGCGTAAAAGAGAGAGTCTTTTCTTTTCTCAGACAATCATGATTATGTCCACATAGGTCATGCTTCTATCTACTATATAATCTGCTAAAGACATTTAAGTAGCACATTGTGCTGTTGAATAATGATCATCCCAAACAATACTAGTCCTCCTTTTCCCCTCTCCTCTGAGAATGATATACGGTTTGTTACAAGAGATCTTAACCTTCTCCTTAGACAATACACAAAATAGTTACGTAGACTAAGAGAGAAATTACTGTTCATCCGTGCTTAAACAGAAGCGTGCAATTGTCTAGCAGAAAATATATTTACCAATACGCTCCAGCCCTTACGTAGATACAAACCCAATTCTTATTCTCTGATGGAATGGAATCAAGGGCAGATTGTACACTAGAAACGTTTCCATGGCCTGACTGATCAACAAGGAGTGTTTTGTAAGGCAATGCCTTTCTGTTAGGATCATACTTCTTACTACCATATCTTTGGAAGTTTTCATTGGTTAATCCTTATTGAAAACTGCACAGCATGAGAGCAAAACATGAGCATGAACACCATGGAAGAAACATCTTGATAGAAAAAAGTGATGAGAAAACATGCGCGCAAGGAAAAAAATGGTTAAATCATGAGAAAACAACGTGTATCAAAAATAAAATTGTTTTATACATTCTTGGCTAGTCTGAAAAAAGATATCAAAGTTTTACAGATTTTGGAGGGGAAAAGGGAAAGCCATAAGGGTGTTTATCGAATTAGAATCAATACATGGAAAGGAACAGGAATAGTGAAAAAGATGGGGGTGGCATTTCCAGGCCCCTAAAAACCCAGCCCTCAAATAAAAGGGGTCAGCTGACGTACACTAGCAGCAAAGAATTCCTATTGAAGAATTGATATCCGCAAGTAAACTATGCTTGATCTCTTGATTGAGGGGTGATCTTTTAGCAAGATCATGAATTTTCCCTAATTGGCACAATAAACGTTATTAACGGAGTAAAGCAACAACCGGCCGACTTTAAAATCCCATAAATATCCAATGATTGGGTAAGAAAGAAGATTAATTGCCACATGAAATAGTAAGAAAATTCTGATTCAGTACAGATAGCATTGCCCCTGATCAAGACTGGCCCATGTCAATGGGAGTTCCAAGCAAGGACAGTGGATACAGAGCTCCTTCAATGTTCCACTGGAAACATTTTCCTGGGCATCTGGTTGAGGGAGCATTGGAACTAAACCCCTTTATGATCCTGAATTCCTGCTCTTAATTATTTCTTGTTTTCAGGATATGCAAAACACTAAGGGGGATAAAGTAAGGTTCAAAATATTATATATCTAAACTGAAAAGCCAAACCATGTTCCAATAAAACTGTTGATAAAGTTAATTCACTCGAACAGAAATTGTCAAAAAAGAAAACAGTCTGGGATGCAAAAACAATATTCTCAGAGTTTCTCATTCACTAGCAACCAACTCTCCAAATCAATATTTGAGTGGAGCAATGATGTCTAGCTGGGGACCAAGCTTCTCCTCTGCAGTCTTCTCAGCCTTGACCCTCAGTTTTGCCAACTGCTTCTTTCTCTCATAGATCAACTGGGCTCTTTCCTTTCTCTTCATCTCAAGCTCCTGCAGGGAAGGAAGAACAGGTCAGAAAAAGGTGCCTCACAAAAAACTCGATGACCAGTGTTTATTAACAAAGGCAAATTATTGCCAGTAAAATCACGCAATAGGTTGTACAATAGCTGGCATCCTTAGAAGTTAATAGCTAAATGGAAGACCACTTCAAATATCACAGATAGAAACACCATTAGTGGTAAGTTGCGATCATTGTCCAGCATGTGACAATAACAGCCATCTCTGCACTGCACAATTTAAAGTACAAAGAAAATATGGGAAGGGATTCTAATTGTTAACCTAATTACAGTTTGATGAAATATTTAAATAGGTAGCATCCAACTAAGGGAGAATACAGCAAGAGGGCAGCAAAAATGAAAGAGGAAGGAATTAGGTAGTCAATTCATACCTTGATGGTATCATAGTGATTCCATCCAACCTCAGATGAAAGCTGTCCTAACAAGCAATACTTGTGTCCAGGCTGGAGCCTCAAAACCCTGATTCATCCAAAACATAGAAAGAATAAGCATCCAACTACATGAACCACAAAATACATTGTTCTCACTTAAGATCTTCTAAGAAGACTCACTTGAGAGCATCAGGGATCACCATCCTCTTTGTCTTATCATATGGAGGAGGAACACCCTCAAAAACCTTCAAACGAGCAAGAGCAGCCTCTCCACGCTTGGTCTTGTGAGGAATCATCCTTCAAACCAAATAAATTTTAGATCACAGATAAAACCAAAACAGCATGGAGACACTAAAGTTGTAACCTGGACAACCAAAAACATTGCAAGATGCAAATACGAACACAACAAAAACATAAAAACAACTATCAACAATCATCTAATTCCAGAATATGGGGCACTTCCCCTATCAAGACACCTCAACGGCACAAACATCATTTCAAACACTAAAATTGATTCGCAAAAACTTGACACTTTCTCTATGGTAATCAACTTAAAAGTTCTTATTCCTTAAAAGCACATCCAAACCATTATCCACTCACAACTAAATCACCTGTTTGTTCTCAATAAAAAAACCTTCAACAGCAAAGAGTAACTTCAATAATAAACCCTGCTATACTGTAAATCTTTATGGCTTCAGGACCCTCAACTGTTAAAGCTTAAAATTTTCCGTGCTTAGCAAAATAAGGATCAGCAACGTTTAAACTTTAATTATACATCTCTAAAGATGCTAACATCTCACAAATCACAACACGGGTTATCCTCTAACAATCCAATTATCATCTTCTATAACTAACCAAACCAACAAAAAACCAAACTTTGTCAACAAAACTCAAACTTTAATAAATAAAAAACTAACCCTCTAATGGTACGCCAGAGAATCTTAGAAGGAGCCCTGAAGTGAATAGGACCATGAGAAGGCTTAGTGTTCATGCGTTTCCTCAAGAACCTCAGGTACTTCATTTTCTGCCTTACTAAACCACCAGAGATACAAATCTCTTCACACCTAACAACAACAACTTTCTGCCCATTTAGTAGCTCTTTAGCAAGTATTGATGCAAGCCTGCCTAGCATATGATGCCTTGCATCAACAACAACTCTTTTTGCACAGATCCCTGACCCAGACACCATTGTGGCTGTGTGTGTCTCTCTGCTTTCTCTGGCTAAGCGGCTCGTGCGAGGGAGGTGAGAAAAGAGAGGGCCTTTAGGGTTTTTGTGTTTGTAGGTTTGAGAGGGTTTTATATGGGGTGGTTTTTTTTGGACTTTAGAGAGTTGGGCTTTTAAGGTTTTGTATTTTGGGGTTGGGATCTATATATTTTTCCAGTCCATGATGATTGATATTATGGAAAATTAACCGCAAACTAAAAAGGAGTTTTAGTGTTCCCCCATGGAACATTGTTACTTTGAAATAGTAATTTATTATTTTTATTATTTTTTCAATCGAATACTTTTTATTATATTAATATTTAATATTATAGTTTTTATTGGATTATGTTATTTTTATGTATTGTAGGTTTAGTAGATTAATTAGGTTTTTGATATTTTAATCTCAATTAAATCGGGTCATATTTAAAATTTTCTTCTAAGATGTTATTCGGTTACGAGTTACTCAACATTGGATATGGTTTTTATTGGGTTATTCTTATCTCAAGACCTAGGTTGCAGGTTTGATAGGTTAACTTACTTGATTTTTTTTTTCTTTTTTATTGACTTTTTTTCTTCTAATTTCATCATCTAATATTGTGTCTGATTAAAAAATAGGCCTTATAATTTTTTTTTTATTTGCTTTTATTCAGGTTATCTAATTCTCATGACCCAAGAATAGTGCTTAATGGGTTAACCTGAGTTGACTTTGCTCATTTTTTATAGCATTTTTTAAATAAAAATATGTACAAATCTCATTGTTTATCATTGGGACATAAAATTTTGTTTGGGAATTGAGCTTTACAATTTGTTTTGATTTTATCTTTATGAGGTTATGTTAATCTCATTATCAAAGTTATGGATTTAACAAGTTATCCTGGGTTAAATAAATTTGTTTTTTTTCTTTTAATGAGATTATCTCGATCTCATAATCCAGTTCATAAATTTAATGGATTGACTCATGTTGTTTTTTATATCATTTTTTAATTGATTTTTATTTTTAATGTCATCCATCAATATTAAACTGATTGAGAATTGAACTTCGTAATTTATTTTGATTTATTTTTTATTGGGTTATCATGATTTTATGACTTAAGTTACGGGCTTGACAAGTTAATTCGAATTGTTTTTTAGGTCCTTTTTTTAATTAATTTTTTTCAATTTTATCCTTCAATATTTGGTTGATTGAGAATTAAACTTCACACTTTGTTTTGATCTGCTTTTTATAGGGTTATCATAGTCTTATAACTTGAGTCGTGGATTTGATATGTTGATCCAACTTGACCTAAGTTAATCCAATATATTATTATCTTAATATTAAAAAAAATGTCATTTTGAAATTTTTTTATTCAAATTATATTTTTACAGATCATCCGAGTTAATTGTTGTCCCTCAAAGTCAACTGATTCACATCGAGTCAACCCCCACACGATTTATTTATTTTTCCACTAGAAAAAAAAATTAGCAACATCTAAATATTTTTTTATGTTCAAGAAAAATTTGACCAAAACCTAGTTGAAACACAACCCCAATTAACCCAAAAAATAGACTTGAATCGACCCTAAAATCTTCCACTAGTTTTGGTTCACACTTCATCCACTCTAGAAGGTTGAATTTCTTAGCACTTAGCATTTTTTTTAAAAAATTGACTTAACCCATAATATAGCGTGGGTTAATGCTCTAGTTACTAGAAATCTAAAAGTCATGGCCTTTCCACCATGCACACACCATTATTCGCCCTTTCACATTTTACTATAGAACTATTATGCAAGATTTTGCTTTGTTTTCAATTC